GATGGGCTTTGAAAAAATATTCTTTAAAAAATCCACGCCTTAGATGGGCTTTGAAAAAATATTCTTTAAAAAATCCCACGCCTGTGTTGGTCTTTACAAAAAAATTATTAAAAAATCCACGACTGTGTTGGTCTTGAAAAAAATATTTTTAATAAATCCACGCGTGTGTTGGTCTTTGAAAAGAAAATGTTTTTTAAAAATCCACGAATGGTCTTAAAAATAATAAATCTACGCCTGGTCTTTGAAGAAAATAGCAAACTAAAAAAACTTGACCTATGGTGAATTTTCAGTGTACCCGCCAAAGGCTTGGGTCTCCATAATCGATTTTTCACTCCCTCAAAATCATGTTACACATTGTTATAAACCATTTGAAGAAAACCATGGGCCAGAATATGGACAGATATATGCATATATAGTCCTCGTATTTAGAAACTGCACTGCACATTTGACAATCGTCTTTGATGTGCAATAAAAATAGTTTGTTTTTCAAAATCGCAGAAAATTTTAAGCACAACACTAACAGCATTGACAACAACATTACAAGCAACGGCATCAAACACTGTGACGAACGACGTCTCCGCAAGCTTATGAATTGGGCCAAACGCCCAAAAAGAAAATGTTTCCAGGAGAATTAAAACAACCACAAAAAAATAACTCAAAAACAACTTCCTATCTCAAGCAAAACGAACGAAGAAGCAGCTAAACAACCAACCGTCCAACCAGACAACATCACATCACAATTTCCATTAGAAGCAATAGAACAACAACATTAACAGCCGTAACAACGACAACAACTATAACGACAACATGAAAAACAAGAACAACTACGGCAACATCAGCATTAACATTAACAACATGTAAATATTTTATGGTCTATGAATTTATCTACACGATGACGTTTGTGTCTTGTGCATCATCAACGAAATTTCTTCAAGAAGATCAACCACCCTGCAATAGAAAATAAACATCCCCTTATCCCCCTCCGACCATACTATTTCCATGTTTCAAAGGAAAATTAGTCTGTCCGCTATAAAAAATAGACCATCATTACTACTACATATGGAGACAGGCTGCAAAGCGACATCGAAAATGCACTTGTAAATTAGTATTGCCAATGAGTGTACATATGTAATAGTGTTGCGATACATATGTACAATTTGTTCATTATACTAGCAAAAATATGTAGTATACATCTATAGTAGGGATGTCGAGAGTGACTGAATTTTTGGTAAAGACAAATGGTGGAATTTAACCCAAAACATTATTCATATAACGTTTACAAAGGTTAGTCTAAAATCGGACAAAATTATATGGGAACTATATACATATAAATATTTAACAATTTAAATACTACTTTACAAAAATTAAATTGGGTTTAATTAGGTAACCTCTGAAATGTTTTCTATCTATCGAACAATCAAAGGGACCTGGTGCACTATTGGCATGCAATCAGATGACCTATATCTAAATCTGAACATCAAACTTGACTCAATGCGGAAAGCTGTACAAAATTTCGTGTGAATCGGTAAGACGTAGGGTCTTTGGTGTACCAATTACGAAACCGGACGAAATATATCTAGATTATCATCGATTGCAATCATTTTGGCAACTAACTCGGGGTTTACACATGCAACTTTTTAAGCAACTACGCTGCTGCTATTTAAGATGCTCTTTTTAATTTCTTCCCCCTTGTCACTTTTCTTACCTCTCTCACCTAAGAGCTCGCCAGAGTTACTTACAAAAGTTGCACTTGTAAACCCCGTATAAATGAACGCTCAAAAGTAAGTGAAAGTAAAAAAGTGTCAGTCGGTGTTGCCGACAGATATTCACCCTCAACCTATTGGTTTGCTGAGGTCATCGGAATTACACACTCAGGTTTTAATATTGGCTTTATATAAGATATATGTTTTTATCATAGTGGATTCGGATTTAATGTTAATCAAATCGACTATACAATTGGCTTCAAATGAAATTTACAAGTTTATAAAATATTGACCATTTGTGGGGGAGATATCAGAAGGGGAGGGTCGATGGCTCCCATCTTCGGATTTGATCTAGGCTTGGTAATGATAAGTTGTGGAATGTTTGGTTCGAATCGGACATTCCATTTGCCTAATATTGAATTTATAAATATTGAAAAATTTGATCCTTTGTGGTGGAGGTACCAGAAGAAGAGGACCAATGGGTCTCATGTTCGGAATTCATCTAGGCTTGGTAAAGATAATTCACCTTTCATTAAAAGCAAAATGTCAACCATTTGAGTCCCATTTTCGGACTTGATGTAGCCTTGGTAAAGATAATAGGTTGTGCAAAGTTTGGTTGAAAACGGACATACCAGTCGCCTAATATTGAAACTGTTGACCCTTTGTGGGGGAGGTATCAGAAGGAAAGGACCAATGGGTCCTATTTTCGGACTTGATCTAGGCATAGTAAATATAATAGGTTGTAAAAAATTTGGTTCAAATCGGAATGTCCTTTCGCATGATATAATAAAATAAATTCGTTGCATGATTTTAACAATTATGTGGGGGACGTACCAGAAGGAGTGGACCCATATACCCTATGCTCGAACTTGATTTAAGTTTGAAAGAAATATTACTATGAGCAAAGTTTGGATGAAATCTGTTTCTCCCTTTAAGAGTTATCGTGTGCTCCAACGGACATTTGTAAATCGACTCCAAATTATCTGAAACGGATTTGGTCCAAACTAATATGGGGTCTAAAAACTATATTTCGATGAGGCTAGCAACGTACACAGGATTTCATTTCGGGGGGCCCGGTAGTGCAAAATGAAAAAATACGCTGTTGCAAACATAAATTTACTGTGAAAAAATTCATTTTACGTCCCTGGATGAGGCACATCTTTACCGAATCAAAATATATAGCCATAAGGCAGAGGGTATAAAAGTACGACATTGATTTTTTCGATTTTGTATTCACCACAATATCTTCGAAATGAAAAATTTTCACTAAATACATTTTACCATCTAAATCTGCATCTCTATAAAGCTCCAAAATGTTAATAAAACACCACAACAACATCATAATGTCATTACTTGTAATTCACATGCACTAGTAGGTAGTTTATTATTTTCCAAAAAAACACGTCAAGTTCTGGGCTGTTTATTTTATTGTCTGCTAATAAAATAAATGGATTTATTTAATACTAACACACAATATTATTTTGTATCAACTTCATGGTTGGCTCCATATCAGATTCAAGAAAATACAACAACAACAATAGTGTTACCACAATATAATGACAATGTCATTCCAAACCAGTAACCAAAAAAGAAAAACTGCTGGTCTATTTGTTGCCTTAAAGATTTGTTCATCGTCAGACAGTCTAATCTACCGTTTGCCATATTAACCTCAGTTTTGGAAGGTTTGCTGCTCATTTGAAAAATGAAGAAAATGTGCGGTAATAATAGCACAAACCACTTGAAATTGTTACGTGACATCTTTTTGACAATTTACACGAACTGATGTATAAAACCCCAGACTATATAAATATATATGTGTATATACATGGTCAAAATGTCTTGAAAAACAAAATGTTGTTCATTATTTTGTGTGAAATGAACTTTAATGTAATGAAAATTGGAAATTAACTTGCTATTTAATTTAAACATAAATAATGGTACAATATTTTGGGGGTGAAAAATTCCTATTGGGGATGAAAGACATTGATGAGTATGTGAAAACCCAATCTCCAATTATAACAAGATCTGATTTGTCATCCTCGCAATGTTCAAAAAATGTTGCCCATACTATTTAGGTGGGGTCTTCAAAGACGATAAATCGATATTTTAATACTTTCAGTAAAAAATCTTTATTTTGAAGAAATATAGCTATAGTCCGAATTATTTACTAAAACATAATTTTTTTAAGAGGTAAAAAAGTATAGTCGGACGGTCCCGACCATATGGTACCCTACACAACTACCACGAAAAATCTATCTTTTTGCGGTTTTATATTCTGAGCCTGGGAAATATTTTGCGATATTAGCACCCTCTTGGTCAACAGATCCAATTTCTACCCTGACATATTTTCCAAATCTTTTTATCCCGAGGTGAATATTTACTCCATGAAATACAAATTTAATCAGTTTAGGTTTTGGTTGATTTGACCGTCGGAGTATTGACCGATCATCATCTAAACAGTCGTTCTAAGTATTTGGTCAGATAGTAACCAATATCATATTACATAGACACCTTTAAAAATTTATACAAGTACATAAAACAGTATAATTGGCATCAATTTAAAGGTCAATCAGTCTTCCTGGATATATCAGGTCTATGTCCATCAGGATACAAATTTTGTCATTTTTCACACAAAAGTCTGATTTTATTTGAACCGCTAAATATTGGCCGATTTTCATGAAAATGGTTATGTGTTTTTTTTTTGCCATATTCCCTTCTGGTTTAAAATTTCATAAAATAAAACCGGTTTTAATACTCTATATGCATACCATTAGAAAGTTTTATTAACGGTTTTAGTAGGTAAATATCCGATTCAAAAATTAAGAGTACCGGTACTTTCTTCATCGAAATTAGTTTCCGCAAGAAAAAAAACAGTACGTAAAGTAAAAAACTTCGAACCGAGCCGACTATATGATACCCTTCACCACTGTGGGTATATACAATAGATGTTAGACCTAGAGAATTATATGAATATACATGTTTCAAAGCTAAGCACAAATAAGTAATACCCAGCACCCTAGCATGACGAAGGGCATAAAAACATATTGAAGCTCATAGAATATAGTCTAGCACAGAATTCATTTTGTATGTCGAATTTACTGCAACTTTTCCTATTTCATATTCTACTGTATTACATCGAGAAAATCATATGAACCAATCAATAAAGAACATTAATATCAGGTCATACTTACCATGAAAAATGTCTAGTAAGATTCAAATACATTCTAACCCATATTATTGTAGAAACAAAAAACACGTCTCAAATAATCAAATTAATTTTCCTTTCAATTCACTTACCTTTTCGGGTTTCTTTTTAGATGGTGGTGAAATAATTTTTGCCTCCTCCTCGGAGGCCATACGATTAAATTTACGTGTTGCCTCCTTAACACTAATTGGATTTTCGGTTTCAACGTCGGGACCAGAAGATTTATCGCCAGGTCCAGCATCAGTAGAATCAGTACCGGATGAACCGGAAGAAAATGAGAAACGTGGTATGTTTTCTTTATTGCCCGTTTCATCCACTGAATTGGAACGTGATACACTTTTATCTACAATTTCATTCGATTTGGATTTATCATCAATACAACCGTTCTTCTCTTGAGTTGGAGTTTCATCATTGTCCTCCTTAGCACCTTCTACATTATCATCACCACCATCGGCGGTACTAGGTGGTATTGGTGCCATTGGCGCCAATGGTGTACCTTCATACATTGCAATGGGAGAATTTACTTCTGGTGGTGGTATATATGGTGGAGGTTTTCTAAATGGTGATGCAGTAGCATCGTCAGTGTTTACAGATATACCACCAGGACTGCTGGGCACCGAATCACTACCACTCGCTTGTGAAATTGCCCTTTGGGCAACATCCTCCGATGGACATTCGTTAAGATACTTCTTGCGTAGTATCAAATATTTCTGATTGTTTTCATTTTTAATGGTGGCCAAAATATTCACATAGGTTTTGAATTCCTTGCGGGCCTCAACTGGAAATGAATGGAAACAAAAGAAACATAGATTGGGTCAGATGTAATTTCCTTCCAAAGGCGGTATGGAATGCAACAAGTATATCAGCATATGACGACATTTGTTGTTGTTATTGTTTTGATAAACAAACAATCAGCCAACAAATGCCATCTTTCTACGCATGACGCATACTTTGGGTGTCCGGATGTGTTAGGAAACGTTTGAAATGTTTGACCAAGGCATGATTGGTAACTTTGCAGCCATTCTCCAGCATATAATTGCGTATTTCACTTAATGACAATTCTTTGGGACCCTCCATTTTTCACGTTTTCACTTTTACTTTTCTTTAAAAATACACAAAATATACACAAAAACACAAATTCTACGAAATTGGTAAAAAAAACTCGAAGCAACAACACGAAAAACTAAACAAACTGAACAGCTGAGCTGAAATGTCAAAATCTATGAGAGTGAGAGCATAAATTTTGTTTATATTGTGAGAGAGAGCGCCAAAGAGAGTTGAATTGCGTGTTGATATGAGAGTCAAAACAAACCAAGCAGTAAATTTCATATTGCCAGGCAAGTGCAAACGTTTGTGTGGATGGGCAACCAAAGCTGTTTGTATTCAACGAGCGACTACAAAGTACTCGTTGCTGGTTTTGATGGAAATGTTTTGGAAGGCTTTGTTGTAAATTCATATAAATTAAATAAATTAAAGCGATTTTTTATTAAAAAATAAGAAGGTATTAACAAATATCCGTTTATTATATAATTCATGACCGCTTTTATTTCACAAAAAATGGGGGAAGATGATTGAGAATTCGAGTGATTTTTTCCTGCAGATTTAACTGCAAATTTACTAATAAACTTTTCGCCACTATTTCCCGATTTTTTCAATAATTTTTTTACTTTTTTGTAACATAAATATGCTTTTTATACCCTTCACCACACTGTGGTACAGGGTATTATGTCTTTGTGCATATGTTTGTAACAGGCAAAAATAATCGAGATAGACCCATGGTTCCTTTTGAGAATATGCATAGAATCACTTTCTGAGTCGATTTATGCATGTCCGTCCGTCCGTCCGTCTGTCCGTCTGTCCATGTTAAATTGTAAACAAAGTACAGGTCGCATTTATGATCCGAATTGGATGAAATTTGGTACAGCTCATTTGTTTGGCCCAAGGACGAACCCTATTGAAATTGGGAAAAATCGGTTCAGATTTAGATATAGCTCCCATATATATTTTACCGATTTAATGTAAACGGTCCCTATATATCTTTCGATTTACACGAAATTTGGTACAGCCTTATCATTTAGGTCTAGAATGATGTCTGCCAAGTTTCATGAAAATCGGTCCAGATTTAGATATAGCTCCCATATATAGTTTCGTCCGATTTCATGTAAATGGTGCCCCAAAGTCCCTATATATATTTCGATTTGCACGAAATTTGGCACAACGTACTGAATTGAGCCTAGATGATGTCCGCCAAGTTTCGAGAAAATCGGTCCAGATTTAGATATAGCTCCCATATATAGTTTCGTCCGATTTCATGTAAATGGTGTGCCAAAGTCCCTATATATCCTTCGATTTGCACTAAATTAGGCATAACGTACTGAATTGAGCCTAGAATGATGTCTGCCAAGTTTCGAGAAAATCGGTCCAGATTTAGATATAGCTCCCTTATATATCTTTCCCTATATATCTTTCGATTTGCACAAAATTTGGTACTGCCTAATCATTTAGGTCTAGAATGATGTCTGCCAAGTTTCATGAAAATTGGTACAGATTTAGATGTAGCTCCCATATATAGTTTCGTCCGATTTCATGTAACTGGTGCCCCAAAGTCCCTATATATCTTTCGATTTGCACGAAATTTGGCATAACGTACTGAATTGAGCCTGGAATGATGTCTGCCAAGTTTCATGAAAATCGGTCCAGATTTAGATATAGCTCCCATATATAGTTTCGTCCGATTTCATGTAAATGGTGCCCCAAAGTCCCTATATATATTTCGATTTGCACGAAATTTGGCACAACGTACTGAATTGAGCCTAGAATGATGTCCGCCAAGTTTCGAGAAAATCGGTCCAGATTTAGATATAGCTCCCTTATATAGTTTCGTCCGATTTCATGTAAATGGTGTGCCAAAGTCCCTATATATCCTTCAATTTGCACTAAATTAGGCATAACGTACTGAATTGAGCCTAGAATGATGTCTGCCAAGTTTCGAGAAAATCGGTCCAGATTTAGATATAGCTCCCATATATAGTTTCGTCCGATTTCATGTAAATGGTGCCCCAATGTCCCTATATATCTTTCGATTTCCACGAAATTTGGTACAGCCTAATCATTTAGGTCTAGAATGATGTCTGCCAAGTTTCGAGAAAATCGGCCCAGATTTAGATATAGCTCCCATATATAGTTTCGTCCGATTTCATGTAAATGCTGACCCAAAAGTCCCTATATATCTTTCGATTTGCACGAAATTTGCCATAGAGTACTGAATTAGGTACAGGATGATGTGTGCCAAGTTTCCCAAAAATTGGTTCAGATTTAGATATAGCTCACATTTATAATTTCGTCCGATTTAAGGTAAATGGTGCACCAAAGTCCCTATATATCATTCGATTTGGATATAGCTCCCATATATAGTTTTGTCCGATTTAATGTAAATGGTGCACCAAAGTCCCTATATACCTTTCGATTTGGATGAAATTTGGGACAGCGTACTGGATTAAGTCTAGAATGATGTGTGCTAAGTTTCGTGAAAATCGGTCTAGATTGAGATATAGCCCCCATATATATTTTCGTCCGATTGAAGGTAAATGGGGCACCAAAGCCCCTATGCATGCTTCGATTTGCACGAAATTTGGCATAAAGTACTGAATTAGGTCAAGAATGACGTGTGTTAAGTTTCGAGGAAATCGGTCCAGATTTAGATATAGCTCCCATATATAGTTTTGTCCGACTTCATGTAAATGGTGCACCAAAGTCCCTATATATCCTTCGATTTGCACGAAATATGGCATAATATTCTGAATTAAGCCTAGAACGACGTGTGTAAAATTTCCTGAAAATCGGTACAGATTTATATATATATATATATATATATATTCGTCCGATTTTATGTAAATGGTGCACCAGAGTCCCTATATATCCTTAGATTTTCACGAAATTTGGATTTATAAGTAAATGAAGATATCGGTTTAGATTTCGATATTTTGCTTTAAATTTATTTACATAATTTCCCATTGTAAGAAGCAACTCTATATCTGACCAAAATTTAGTATAGGTTGCGGAATGAAATGTTTAATTTAATGTTAATGATCATTCAAAAATGCGACGTCCGTTAGGATCCCATCTGTTGAATATACCCATAGTGGTGAAGGGTATCATATAGTCGGCCCCGTCCGACTTTACTACTTTCCTTACTGGTTATTACTGAATTCAGTTTTCATGCTTTAAAAAAGTGGAGAAAAATATTATTAAATCCATCTGTAAGACCAGGTCCACACTTAAATAATTCAATTAAATAAATTATACGAAATTAGACGTTCTTAGATCGAGTTTTCCATTACAGTAATTGTATAAAATTTCTTAAGGGCGAACTCGATCTAAGAATTTACAAATGCATTTAAAATGTTTTGTTTTCATGAAATTACTGTAGATTGAACCAGAACTAATTAAAATTTGAATTAAAACATTTTTGGGGAAGAACTTTAACAAGGGTTTAGACAGGTTTTTTTTCAACAGAATCAGCTATAAATCTATATTTAGATTCTGCCTACGAAAATTTAACGGTACTCCTAATATTCTGTATTTTCATGGTTTAAGGCACGTGTTTCTATCATATAAAAATTATCCCCCTATATAAAACTGCACCCTAAAGATTGTTATTTTGGGAAGCATGAGTACGTGTTTCAACTAATTTGGGAGCAATTTAATATATGGGATTCTCATAGATTAGGAAATATCCCTAACAAAAATTATAAATACTGGCCCATGTTTCCGGGTAGCACCCATATACTGATAACCTACATTATTCGGTATTTTGGCGCTTTTGGACACCTTTTTTAACCGAATTGGCTCTAATTTTATTTGTCAGGTTCTCATGGGGTGTCAAATCTTCCTACTGAAAATTATCAACATTGAATCATTTTTTAGGAAATCCCCGAATTGTCCGGAATATTGTTTATGCAGGTTTAAGTTTCGATATAATTCCCACAACATTTATCAGCATTTTTAAGAGAGGTGGAAAATATCTTTGCAGACAATTTTAAATATTGGTAGATATCTGTGACAAATCCCCTTCCCACCGAAGGGGTCGTAAATTGTTACTTAAGGTTTTTGATGTGTTATAGTACGTTTACATTGAATTATCAATTCCATTGTATTTACATCAACTAAATCCTCATGAAGTCGGTTAACTGCGAAAAAATTTCTAATGTAAATCCCGTTTTAAAAACTTCGTCGCAAAACATTTTCACTATATGTATATTTTTTGAACTAGACTCCATATATAGGTTCCACTTCATTTTCGCTATTCGGAATATCTCGACAGATAGATTGCAGCGGCATACTTCATATAAGTGACACGACCGATTTTCATTAGTGAGAAAATCTCCCTACATTATCTCCCTTTCAAAAATGATCAATATTAGCTGATATTTCCGGTTAGCCCCCATTCTTAAGGACTTTGGGCACAGATTTCAACTGCATCGCCTATAACTTGGTATTAGTGGTCCTTATTCCTACCAAAAATTCCAATAAAGGCTTCGCCACATTTTTCGTATTTCATAACGAATGACCCTGACAATATATCATTATGTGTTATACCGGGCGTTAACTGTACTTATTTCTGTGTTTAAGCTCCATCGGTACAGAATTTTCCCCATCAAATTTATTTACTAAATTTCTGGCACATGAAAACTGTACAATTAAACGATATTTGCAGAACAGGCAATTGGAAATATTCATTCAAATAGCAGCAACAAAATCAGGCCAAAATAGAAACATTTTCAAACATGTCATGGAATGGGATATTAAAATGCATTTCAACTTAAGTATGTTTGAGTGAGTGAGCGAGTGTGTGTGTGTTGTGTGAGGCCATAATTCATTTGCATACTTGGACATTGGCTACCAATTCAGCATGTCTTGACAGTGCAACAAGGATACAAGAAGATTTGTTGTTGTCTTATTTAAGTTTGTATTTGAGTGGCTGAACTGAATGGCTGGTTGTCCGGTCAGTAGACTGGCCAAAGCAAATTGGGTTGTGGGGAATTGCAGTTGAAGATGATGATTGTTTGTTGCACCATCGACAATTGTGGAGTGGATGAGTTCG